GGGGGGGGGGGAGGACAGTGAAATAAAGAAAGAGGGACATGCCCCCGAGAATGCAGAGCTCCCGCCAGTTCATTTTCATTTTTATTTTTTCATCATCAACGTTGAAACTTGGGGACAGTTACGGCAGGCGCCTGGGGCTGGCAAGCGCCGTGGTGGCCCTTGCCTTGGCCGGCTCGAGTCCGTTTCAATTCGCCATTTCGAGTCCGCTCTCGCTCGGAACCGCGAGTCTGGTCGGGTGGCTGATCCTGGTGAAGACGGGGACGGAAATGGGGGTAGGGAAAGAGGGTGGGGTGGGGCCGAGTTGGAATGAGGAAGGAAGAACGGGAGCGGGGTGAGGGGAGCTGGCGGGGGAGGGGGGAGGGTAAGGGGGCATCTCAGCACCTCGTAAAACAAGGGTGGAGGGCTTACCTCGCCACACTGGTTGGTCAGAATCCGGCTCGGCGCTCGGCGTTTCAGCTCACGTTCGGCCGTAGGAGACAGGGCGAATCATGCTCCCGAAGCAACGAAAGATAAACTCAAGGGAGCGAACTGCGTCCCACTCGACTCGGACCGGGGGGAGGGGGGGGGGGCGTCGTACACCGCGTTGCTCGGGTCAGATGGTGTCGGCGGTCGGCCCCGCCCCGCCAGAGGGCAGGTCTTCGCGGCCGCTGCCCCGGCCGCGCCCGTACGTCACAATCTAAGTGTGACGTGACGGGAGGGGCCGAACTTTGGGGGGAGAGGGGAGGGGGTACACAGTGTCCCAGCCTTAGCGTCAATTTTCAGCCCCTCAAGAAAAGTAAGGCTTTATCGACACGTTCTTCCAATAAAGCATTCCGGTAAAGCTGAAATGAAGAAGAATGCGAGGAACGAGAAAACGGAAGAAACCATGTTAAAGCATAGCGATTTCCGTTTTCTTCTTCCCCGCATTCTTCTGCATTTCAGATTTACCGGAATCCTCTATGCCTGCGCATAATAACCTTTTGCTTCAGAGACTACTATGGTTTCTGAAACGTGTCCTTCCTGCGATGGATTGATGGTTTGAGCAGTGCTTGGTGTTGTAGCGGCGAGCGTGCACACCTCCCGGGGCTTCTCGGGGTACCGCGCGCCCGCACCCGGCTGCGGCACCTCCCGCTACGCGGCGTGGCGCGGCGGCGCGTGGCGGAGCGCCGTGCCCGTGCTGCTGCTGTGGCTGCTGGCCGTGGGGCTGCACGCCACCCTCCTGGGCCGCTCCGTCATCGCCCTGGCCGAGCCCTACCACCCGCAATACCCACCCAACTCGTAAGCCAGCAACACTAAACCTTGGTATTTCAGCTACGTCGTCGTGCAGCAGGCTCACATTCTTGTTCTCCGGTGCCAGGTGGGTGCCGCCGTCGGCGGGCTCCAAGCCGACGCCGACGCGGACGGTGATCGCGTCGCTGCAGATGATCCTGGCCGCCTCGACGCTCGTCGCCGTGGCCCTGGTGCTGCACGTGGACTGCCGCCACGACCCCGGCGCGGGCGACGGCCCCGGCGGCATGGGGTCCGGGTCCGGGGTGGGCGGCGCGTCGTCCACCGCTATGTCCATGGTGGCCGTGGCCTCCACGTCGTCCGAGAGGGGCTCCCGGGTCTGACAGTCGGCCGGCGGGGGCGGCGCGTCCGTCAGCCTGCTGGCGCCGCCACCCGCCTCCGCCTGCGCCTCCCTGTCCGGCTCACCCAGCGCGTCGCCCGGCGCCTCGCCCGGACCCGCCCGCCGCGCGGATGTCGCCCACTTGTGAGACCGACGGGCCGAGACGACGGGTGAGAGTGAGAGAGAAACCTATTTGTAGAACTTGGACGAATACTGCCCGCCTGACCTCGAGGATTACAGCTTTCGTGTTTGTTTTCAGAGGTGCTGCTGGTTTTTCAGACGCGCGGGCTGGACGCCTGTGTCCCGGTTTCCTTCTCCTTCGAATGTCACGGACACCCGGATTTATACAATGATTTGAACAATCGACGTGTTATTGAATGGTTTATCAACAAAGTGATGCTGATATTCTACTAGTTAATATACAGACTTCCTGTTATTATAACGTTTTGTGGTGTAACACGTAAATACATACTGTGATCGTAAAATGTTTTAGTTAAGTTTGGGTCTAAGTGGGTTAAAAATAATAGGGCATCGTGTAACTAATTTTGAATGTGCAGAAAGATAATCGGTAGTGAGATATCGGTTTCTGTTGGAATATTTTCTCTCCTAACTCCGTCCCACATTAAATTTTATACTCATTAATTTGCGAATAAAATCTTTATAGGAAAAGAGTTGTATCTTCTATCAATGTTGAAATTTAAGTTGATCTATGGCTCAACCGAGTTCGACTTGGGTACAGGCTTACATTTTATTTTAAAAAATACTCTTCTAATTATTGGGAAAAGAATCATCATCGACAAAGGCTTGGATTAACGTATTTTGGGCTGTTTATGACTTCAGTGTGTCAGTGTGATTGCTATAACTCTGATTTTGATAAAATATTTCAGATTTCAATGAGTGTAGCTCGTCATATTTTTTTGCTTTATTTTTATTGTTGTTTTAGCTACGAAGATACCGGCGTGTTAAAACTGCTAAATAAAATGTATTTTATCGTATACGATCTATTGTTGGCTTTGATTTCTCATGTGTCAAAAGTTATCACACGTGTTCGGAATATGGGACCTAAGTAACATATTTTCTGTAACTAAAAAGCGTTCCCTCCCCTGCTCTCTTGTCAACAGATGACTTTAACTTTATGTATCGCCAACGTTTTGATTGTGTTTTTAATAAAAACAAAGAAATGGAACTTGAGCCACGCGTAATACGCACAAATCATAGCCCTGGCTATTCAGGACCCTTCTCCCTCGCACATGGCAGAACTACTACACCAAATCAGCAGAGTATTGTCTACAATAATAAGTTGTTTTTGCGAGAGGGCAGGGCGGAAAGGATGGGGGATTGGGGGGGGGTGAGCTTTGAGAGCTTCTATCCTCCCTTCACCCATAAAGAATGCGAAATAGGAGACAGCTCTACAGATACGCGCACCGAAACGACCGGGAGTGGCGGAAGACACAGGACGGGGAGGGAGAGAGGGGTTCGGAAATCGAAAACAACGATTCCTCCGCCCCTTTTAGCAGAGCGGGATGTGGGTGGAGATTGATCAGACATCTTCGTCACGCTTTTGGAATCGGGTCGATAGAGATTGGCAGAATTTTTTCATGGGTCTCTATATGGTTGGGAGCTCCAACGCAGCCTCCTCACAAGCCGCTCTCATTTCTCCGGGTAAAGGGGGGAGTGTTGCCTGCGCAGGCGCTGAGGAACTCTATCGCCTCTGAAATGCGATCCTATCTGTTCCTCCGCCTTGGCTCGCACGCCGACCGTGCTACAGCATGAGGAATGGCTCAGACCCATGCCTACTGCTACACACGCCAACTCCCACATAAACACACGGAACCTTGTCTCCGACCCCCCACCCCTCCTCTCTTCATGGTTTTCTTCCCTCTGGCAAGCGACCGCCAGGCTACCCGGAATGACAGGACAGGTACGCGACGCCTGGCAGGCGGTTTTCGATCGCGAGCGGGCAGTGGAAGGCGATCCTCAGCGCGCAGCTCGGCGGGGCGGGTGCGGGCGCGGGCACGGCGTCGTCCTGCACTCGCTCCTTGGCCCTGCGCCAGGCGCGCGTGCCCCCAGAGGGCCCAGCTCTGGACTTGGATGTCGAGGGCGCGTCTGTCTCGACATTCTCCTCCACGGCATCCTCGCCGTCTGACTGATACTTGTTCAGAAACTAAAAGAAATGAGACGCTATTTATTCCATCATGCCACAAAAGTGTGAAACGCAAAATGAAAGAACGATCCTCACAGCTAGTGGCGCGAGGTCCAGGTCGCAGCGCAGCTCCAGCTGGATTTGGAGGTCCCTGTCCCTCGGCTTGGGGGCGGGCCGGCTGGGGGCGGCAGATGGTCCCGCGGGACTGGGGACGGCGGCCGCCCCCAGGACGACGGAGGGGCTCGCCGTCACGACGTTAAGGGGAGGTGTCTGGAGAATACCTGGTGCACGCCGAAGACCTGCCAGAGCAGGACGACGGCACCAATACATTCGTCCTACAGGAAATTGCGACAAACTCAGCAATAAAAGCCATAGATGTAAGATTTGCGACAGCAGAGTGAAATACCAATTTTGCAATACTGCACCACGAGTGTAAATATTGGAATGCTCGAGATGATGTAGCCGTCAGTTTCATTGGAAAGATCAGGGAGAACATACCAGAACATCACAAGCCTTACGTTGGTTTTAGGAAATATCTTCAAAAACAATTGGAAAGCAAAGCAGCCAATTTGCGAAAAAACAGTTAAAGACTTTATTTTGATGTTCTGGCTCCTCCGGATCTTCTTAATACCAATAAAATACCCCATTGCCACAAACCATTTTCTCTGTTTCCCCGCGGTTCTTCGATGTTGATCTCCTCTTGCATAGGCTGCTCGAACGCCAGGGCATCTACGGCCAGCTCCTCGTCCATCAGAATGGCCCAGGGCCCAAGCAGGTAGTCGTGGTCCTCCTCCTCCTCGTCGTCGTCGAGGTCCTCCCCTACGGCCGGTAGGGGCGGCTGCGGTGCCGTGGGAGGCGGCGGGAGCGGCGGCGGAGGGGGTGGAGGGGGAGGAGGCGGTAGCAGGGCTACGGGAGGACATTTCCTTTTAGTTTTTGGAAATTTAGTTCGTTAGAAAATCAGAGGCTTCTGCGGCACGGCGCAAGTTTTAAGTTCGATGGTTGCCCAAAGATTCCCTGGAGGGGGGTAGAGGACAAGCTAAGATTAAGCTAGAGTGTATGGTCTCTCCGTTGCAAAAGCTCGATCTCATATTGGAAAGTGGGGAGGGGGTCCCGAATGATAGTTTCCAAACCCTTCCATAAGCCCCCATCCAATAAGGCGCTTTACCCTGCTGCGCTGCTGGCTGACCTCCTCCTCCTCCTTGACCCGCTACGACGAACGCGTACGTTGCCGGCGGGTTCACGGGTTCGGCGGGGGCGCCTGTTAGGGGCGAGCAGAAGTCGTAGGCGCCCTCGTTCAGGTTGCCGTAGTAGAAGAAGCGGCCGCCGCTCTCTCCGTAGCCGGCGAAGGACGTCGGCAGAACCATGGACGAGACGCGGCCGCACAGTGCCTCCTCCCGGTCGCGGTGCAGCTGCAGAGCGGAACACCATCAGACCACTGCAGCAAACAGTCTATGTATCTCCCAATGCTGAGAAAAATGTCCGCTGGAAAACATGTTAACAGAATATCACCATGAGATATCACGCGAAATAATTAATAATATTGGGACAGTTCTTTTATTCCTTGCTTGACAGAATCCGTGACAAACCATAGACAAAGTCGCAATAATTGTCTCCGCAACGTCCGCATTGTTTAACGTAGAAATAGAAGGAGGGCATCGTGTTTCTGCTGGGAGTTTGCCCCCCCCCCTCTTCCTCCCCCTCCTCCCGGAGAGAAGGATTCATTTTTCAAGAGCAAATGCTGGCTCCGTGAAATTTTCACGGCCGTCCGTCATCTTGTCACCGCGGTGACCTCCGCACGCCCGCCCGCGTGCCCTGCCACCCACCCGCGTGGACGCGCCGCGCCGCCCTCAGTGTCTGTTTACTGCTCCGCTCGGCCCCGCTGTTCCCTCTTTTGTTGGCGGGCCAGCGGGCCCAGCCCAGCCCCGGGTAGGCCCGGCGGCCCACAACCAGCCGCGAGGCCCCAGCGTCACACAAAGCCACCCCCCCCCCCCCGTCGCCCTTTTTGTTTGGCATATATTCCCCGCCGTGTTGTCAGAAAGAGAATTGTAAGCCGCTGTAAGGCTTTGGTCACTGGCCGTACCTTTTGCAGCGTGTACTCGTTGTGGTGCTGCACCAGTCTGCGCAGGCGCAGAAAGACGAGACGCCGCTCCTCCCTCGAGTCCCTGCTGCTGCTGCCGCCGCCAGCACCGCCCTTCTGAGGCGCTCGAGACGCTAGAGGGAAAGAAGAAAGGTAAGGCGAGGGTGCGGAAGGGGCGGGGAGGGGAGGGGGCAAACAAATAAGCAGCAGCGGGAGACCCTGGGCCCTCTGGCCCTCTGGCCCGCTGGCTCTGGTGCCGGCCCCGCCTGGTGCCTGTTACGCACCGTTAGCCAGGTCGTATGTCAAAAAGGGCGCGCGCAACTTAGCGAAAAAGGGAGAGCCAGCGAGGAGGGCCGAGGGCCGGGCGGCGCCGCGGCGCGCTCACCGCACACAAACAGTAAGTGTTTTCCTTCTGTTTCACAGGAGAGCAACAGTTTGCTGACGCCTTGGCCCTGCGCCCGGCCGGAAGGCCCCGCAGGCTCCACACCAAACCCCGCGTACAACTTTGGACCTTTCCTATTCTGCTGGACCGACCAGACTTACCCTCCGAGACCTCTTCGCCGAGCGGCAGCGCCACGAAGTAGGCCCTGGGCATGCTGTAGCGCAGGCGCAGGTGCAGCAGGCGGCCGCCCGCCGGGCCGACCTCCACGGCCTCCTTGAGCACGCGGCGCCGCACGTCCAGGGCGCAGTCCAGCACGTCCAGCGCCTTGGCCCCCGGGAGCCATCCGGGCTCGGTCGGCATCTCCAGCACCTGCACCACGCATCTTTCATTTTGAGAAAATAGAAATAACGTTCAATTTGCAAAAAAAAAAACGGCTGTTTGCTGGCGCGTGACCCCGACCCGCACACCGACCTTTCAAACCCGCCCATAAATGAATGAATGAATGAACGACCGGGCAAAGCAGAACCGCAGTCGAGGCGAAAATCAGCAGCGGCAAAGGGCTGGGCGGGCGGGGGGTGATAAAACGACTGTACTCGACTCGAGCCGCGCCGGGACACTCGGCCACAGGCCCGGGGTCGACGAACGAGTGGAGTGCCTTCTTCTGAATTATTCGCCATGTTTGTCGTCCGTGCTGTAAGTACATACCTGCGCTGCTCGTAAAGCGGCATGCGCTCCGCGTGCTCAGTTCTCGGTTTCTCCCCTGAGATGGAGAGTACCCGGGCCTCCTCACCTTCTCGAAGTGGTCCATGAAGCGGCGCATGCGCTCGTTGACGCCGTGCACGCAGTGCTGGCCCACGAGCCGCGCGGGGTCCGTGACGGCCAGGTTGAGCTGGTGTAGCATCTCGTCCAGGAGGGCGCCGTCGTAGAGGCAGCGGCCTGAGGCCGGGTCCAGCAGCCGCCCCGTCACGGCGAGCAGCAGGCGGTGCTGCTTGTGTGCAGCGGGCGGTCACGACGGTCAGGCTAGGAGGGCGACGGCGGGAGGCCACGGCCAGGCGGCTCCGCACGGCTCCGCACCTGGCACTGGAGGTTCTCCAGGAAGTTGAAGGCTGCCGCGGCCGTCCTCAGCTCGGCGGCCTGGTCCTGGCTCTGCAGCAGCAGCTCCAGGGCTGCCATGGTGCGCTGCAGCCGGCCGCCGAGGGCGAGAAGCGCTGAGTTGAGGGCGCAGCAGCCCGCCAGCCGGAAGCGGGAGTGCACGGCGCGAAGGTGCTTGGAGATCACCTGGCGAGCACGACGGCGGGTTAGGCACCAGCTGGGGGAGCCCTTGTTCCAGCCGCATCCCACAACTTGCCTCGTACGGGAAGTACTTGAATATATTTATAAGCAGTTCGGTTGGGAGTTCCAGTATGGTCGTGCTCTGACTAGTCTGCTCCGTGCTTTCCGTCGCCAAGCTCCCCGGCAAGACACTGAGAAGTAAGTGATTGACGTTGTGGCTCGGTCTCAGGGCAACATAACCTCTCCGATTAAACACATCACCCGACCTGCATGCCCGCGGGGAGAGCCTCGGCCGCTTCCTAGGCATGCCGTACGGACAACACTTTTTAATGCCGTAGTAGAGTGCCCTCTTATGGCGTCTTACAACGTTGAAAAAGCGGAAGTTTGTGTCTTGGACTCGTACTACACCGCTCCTCCTCTCCCTGAACGCCATATTGTTGTGTGGGGGAAAACAAACGAAAGACGACTAGCGAAGAAGTGCCAACCCTCGGACCCGATAATACCTCCCGCAGAGAGAGTTTAAAAGGACACACGAATTTCTCTTTATCCAGTCGACCTAACGCGACAGAGAAAAGTGATATTTTCATCGGCTGGACTCGCGTGGGCCAGGGTCAGTGCGAGTGTACCGGGACTAGAGGGACGGGTTCGGGCTGCTTCTGCGCACTCACGCGATAAATTCCTTAACGCCGCCGTCGACACCCTGGCGGCCTGGCCGAGGGCCTGGTGGCGGCACCGACCCCATCCCCGAGACCCTTTTCCTCTCCCGCCTCTGTCCTCGGACAAGGGCCGCTGCCTGCTCTCCTCACCCTTAACCTCGCCGTGTCCGCCCCGCCTGTCCGCTTCTACCTCTCCATCCTTGTACCCCTGCCCCCCCCCCTCCTACCTCCTCTCCTCTGCGCCGAGTCAATCACGTAAGATCTAGATGGGCCGGAGGCGGCCGGAGGCGGCCGGAGGCTGTGCTGTGCCGTCTGCTGGAGGCTGGGCAGGCTGCTCGCTGGACCGCCGGACCGTCTTGTGGACATCATCTCTAGCCCGGCCGCACAACAACCCGCGGAAAGCCGAAGGGCCGTTTCTCCCTCCTCCGCTCCCCCAGTTCCATTTCAGTAACGCAGTTACGCCCCCTGGGGTGGGCCGCTCAGACCGGCTCAGCCCGCTCCGTGGTCCGAATGGTCAGGCAGCGCGGGGTCGGGCGGCGCGGGGCGGGAGTCATCCTCTCAGACCGCCCCGTTTCGGCCGCGTGTGCTTGCGGGGTATTGCAGACCCCTCAGCCCCCCCCCCCTCTCCCCCGCCCCGACTCCCATTCTACTCGCAAAGACTGAACATCCTGCTGTCCTGCGCGCACCATTGCTTCGCCCGCGTGGGTGGAAGTGTAGCCAGAGAGTCCGGGGCGCAGCGGCTGGCGCAGTGCCCCCAGGCACACACACACACACACACACGCACGCAATGCTTCCCATCCGCGTGTTTAAAAATGGACAGTGTGTAGGGCAGGAGAGAGCACCGCCCTACCCCCTGTAACGACGACCACAACCACCACCACGCAGGAAAAGAAGAAGGAAAGGAAATTGGGGGGGGGGGCTAAGAAACAAAAGGAGAAATTCCGAGGGTTGATCGAACCAACCCTGCCAGCCGGACCTCATACGTACAGCCCTGGCTCGCACGATGGAGGAGGTCGCACCCCCCAATGACAAGGTCCCGTCGCCTGCGGTCGCCGCCAAGCTGCTCGTCGCTCCCCTCCCCCTCTCCCCCCTTTCCCCCTGGAACATTATACTTCCCCGCCCCTATCTGCCAGGGCCTCGCCGGGGACCCTCGGGGCGTTGTTTGACTGGTGTCATGAGCGTTGCTTGTGGTCGCCGGGGAGTGGGAGGTGGAGGGGGGGATGCGAGTTGAGGGTGAGGGGGTTGCCGGCTTGGTGGGGGGAGGGCGGGGGGAGACGCGGCCACATCTTGACCTCGACGGCTTGACTGATTGAGCCCGACGCCGCCTCTGGCGACCGCTGCCGCTAGAAGGAGGCAGGCAAGGGGAGCTGTGGCGTAGCGCGTAGGCCGATGATAGAACGAATGAGGGACTGAGAATCCCAGCCCAGCATCACATCACAGCACCACAGCAGCCCTACGCCGCGCAAGCCAACCGACAGACAAGCAGGGCGGCGACCGCAAAGAAGAAGAAGAAGAAGAAGAAGAAGAAGAAGAAGAAGAAGAAGAAGAAGAAGAAGAAGAAGAAGAAGAAGAAGAAGAAGAAGAAGAAGAAGACGTCAGCTCGCCATTTGACCCCAGATTTATTGCAGACGTGAAACGGCTACAGCGCTCCCGCCGCCGCGGTGCAGTTCGACTTTTTCCCTCCTCCCCTTGCTTATTTTGACGTTCGGCGTGGCTTGAATGGCCAAGACAGCAATGAGCCTTCACCCTCTTTCGGCCGCTACCGCCGCTCTGGACGAGCCGGCGGCGCTGTACGAGGACGAGGATTAGCAGGCTGGGGGTAGCGCGCCGGGGAGGAGCGAGGCGGCGGAGGCGGGGGTGCTGTGCTGTAACGCCCACGCGAGGTCATGACCGCCCAGTCGGCCTCCCTGCCTCTCCTCGTTCCTCCTCCCAAGCCCGCCCCGCCACCCAAGCAACTTTTTCTTTCGTTGCTCCCCGCCGCGCCGCTGCCGACAGCTCCAGCCCTCCCCGCCAGCAGCATGCTCTCCCTCTCCTCCGGAATGCAGAACCGGCACGCAAGCTGGGCTGTCGGGCTGCTGGTCGAGGCCTGCAATCTGCTCCCTCTTCCTGCAGCTCACCCTTGTTCGAGGCCAGAGAGGTGGAGTTTAGGAGGCTGGGTTGTCGTCTTTCAGCAGGAGGTGACCGCTGGCCTGCTGGCCCTCCTTAAACGTCCCTTTTAAAAACTCTTATTACAGCTTTAATTAAACTGGTTAAATCCACAACATTAATAATGTCGTCCTTGTCCCAAGCGGCTGCGGCGCGGTGTGGTGGTAGGGCGTGCTGGGTGTGGGAGGGGGG